GGGAGCACCCGGGATACAGTGGGCTCACCGTGAGCGCAGGGTTCCAGTCTGGGAGCACCCGGGATACGGCGGGCTCACCGTGAGCGCAGGGTTCCCGTCTGGGAGCACCCGGGATACGGCGGGCTCACCGTGAGCGCAGGGTTCCCGTCTGGGAGCACCCGGGATGCGGTAGGCTCACCGTGAGCGCAGGGTTCCCGTCTGGGAGCACCCGGGATGCGGTGGGCTCACCCTGAGTGCAGGGTTCCAGTCTGGGAGCACCCGGGATGCGGTGGGCTCACCCTGAGTGCAGGGGGTCCCTTCTGGGAGCACCCGGATGCAGCAGGCTCACTGTGAGCTCAGGAGTCTGGTCTGGGAGCACCCGGATGCAGCGGGCTCACCGTAAGCACAGCCAGTCATGGTGGAGGCCCAGGGCCCTCCGCCGATCTGACCTCACCTTCTACTTCATATCTCCTTGTTGGCACAGCTTCAGCTTCAGGGATCTGTCATTTCAGCTTGCCAAGATTTTCCCATCTCTGGGCCATTCCATCACTGTTAGGAATGTTTACTTATGTTTGAATTGTCCCCCCCAGAATTCTCCACGCTACCTCCTCATTATTCTAGCCTCGGCCTGGCTGTCTTCTCCTAGAGGGCCTCCCCGCCCTTACCTGTTATTCTCTGTCGGTCTCCTGGCTTTATTTAAGTTTCCTTATTTTACTTATTTTTACTTGGCTCGTTATATATTTATATTTCTTGTCTTTCCCCCTAGAATTATAAAGTCTTTGAAGGATTTTGCCATATTCATCTTTTTGTCTTTAGTTTCTAGAACGGTGCTTGGCATGCAGTAGGTGTCCATTAAATATTTGCTAAGTAGTCCATAGTTTATCAGAATTGCTATTTGATATTGAGTATAGCATGATGAGCTAAGGCATGAATTGTGGAGCTGGGTTCACATCTTAGTGCCATCACTTCCTAGGTATGGGGTTTGAACAAGTCACTTAACCTCTGTGTTCCTTATCTGTTTCACTTGTTGGGTGAGGATAATAATATAATGTCAAGGAATTATTGTTAGATTGAAATTAATGTATACACAAACACACAAAATGAACCCATATGCATGGGTGAACATGCATATGAAAGAACGATTTGTTATCTATATCTTGGAGTGACCTATGAATATTGCTATAAATACCGACCCTGAAGGATTTAACCTCAGCTGACCAGAGAAAGGGCTCTACCTATATAATTTGTCCATCTGAGGGTTTCTTTCCACTCCTGACTAACCAGTAGAATGCAAGCCTTTATTATTTCATCCTTTGTTAGATAAAACATTCCCCTTATGAAGTCTCCTTCCCCATACTGGGGAAGAATAATTATAAGGAGCAAACAGATTTATAAATATAATATATGATTAATGTGCTGAAGAAATCCAGCAGATGAAATGCATTTTTCAGGAGTGGGGATGGGGATGTGGTTACCTAGATATCTGGTCAAGGAAAATTTTCCTGTGTAGTTGCTATTTAAGCTGCTGAAACTTGAAAGATGAGATGAGGTAGAAGTATGAGGGGTGGGAAGTAGGGAAAGATCTTAGGCAGAGGGAGCATGGTATTTTATCTTGAGCTAAGGAGATGCCCTGCCTAATCCATCCTGCATCCATCCAGTTTCTCCCACCTTCTACCTGCACTGTTTCTAATAATTGTTCTGGAGTTTCTTTAATAGAACCAGGCAAATAGAAATATTTAGTTTTTGTTTTCCTTCCTGTATTACACAAAGAGTAGTGAAGTATACAACTTGTTTTTCAGCTGTTTGTTTTGGTTTAATGTATGTGTTGGAGTTCCCTCCTGTAACCACAAGGGATCCCATCTATTGCTGTACCAAAGTTGTTGTAAACAGACCGTCTATGGACTTTGGAATTGGTCTCAATATTTTTCTATTAAAAACAATACTGTAGTTAGTATTTGTGAATGTGTTATTTCACCCCATGTGCAAATGTCAAGTACACATAGGATAAATTCTCAGAATGTGAATTGCTCTGTCCAAGGGCAAAGATGTTGGTAATTGTGTTAGATATCGCCATATTGCATTCCATGTAATTGTACTAATTTACATGTTTAACATTAGTGTATGAAAGTGCCTATTTTTCCATGGACACACATTTGGGATATGTTGTAGAACTTTCAGATTTTTGCCAATCTGATGGGTGAAGTGATTTATAAGTTTTTTTTTTTTTTTTTTTGTGGCCGAGGCTGGATTTGAACCTGCCACCTCCGGCATATGGGACCAGCACCCTATCCTTTTGAGCCACAGGCGCCGCCCCAAGTGATTTATAAGTTTAGTGTTAACTTCATTTGTCCTGAGTAATGTTTAACGTCTTCCTCTTCTTTGTGAAATGTCTATTAATATTTTAACCCATTTTTCCTTTGAATACTGGTTTTTTCTATTCACTTTGAAGATTTAAATATATTTTTATTATTTTAAAATTTAAAAAGCGTTTTAGAGAAGTAATTTTTTTAAGAGCTAATCCCTTTGGTAGTCATCTGTGTTGCAAGAAAAACATGTCTTGATTATCATTATCTTCTTTTCAAAAGACATAAAATGTTCATCTTTTCTTGTGACATTCATGTTTTCTAGATGTCTACTCATTTTTTTTTTGCAGTGCTATTAGACATTCTGCCTTTCTCTTTCTCATTGAAGTTAGATGCTGTCCATATACAATACGATTCTTATGTAACTTGTAGGCCTCATCCCACCTCATTGCTCCTTCATAATTATCTTGGCTATTTTTGCTTCTTTCAATATATGCAGTTTGAATATTAAAAAATCTCTTTGTGTTCTGGAAACTCAGGATCTTGTTATTTTTATAAATTCATTTGGAAAATCTTACTATTGAAAAATATTTGTTTGAATCCTCTTGTAGTTCCCTAGTGACTTTTTAAGGAGAGCTTAAAATTTTTTACTTGTTTTATTCCTGGGTACTTAATATTTTTATTTATAAATGTAATTTTTTTCTTTCATAACATCTTTTAATAATTATTTCTTGTATATGTGCAAACTATCAAAGCATGTATATTTGTCTTACTGAATTCAATTTGTGTTTATGATTCTTTTTCAGTTAATTTTATTATATTTAGGCATATATTGGTATACACTAGGAAGATGATAGTTTTATCCCTTTTGGCAAATTTTTATATTTATAATCTCTTTTATCCGATTCTGCTATCTAGTACAGGTAATAATGGGCATCCTTGTATTCTGGACGAAAGTGGGAATGTTCTCACTTCCAAGGTAAAGTCAAGTTGTAGTAGAGTCCTTCCCCCGGGGGTATGCTGAACACCCTCACGTTGTGCACATTAGATGAAATCCCACCAACTGCCCTCCCCCTTGCCTCTCCTTTCTGCCCTCTCCACCTTGCTAGACTATATGTATTTTATCTTTCATGGGCATGTAATTGTTTATATATTGGTTTTGTATCGATGTTGAGTACGTTGGATTTTTTTCCCCCCATTCTTGAGGTACTTTACCAAGAAGAATGTGTTTCACCTCCATCCAGGTAAACATAAAAGATGTAAAATGTTCATCTTTTCTTATGACTGAGTAGTATTCCATGTATACATATGCCACAGTTTGTTAATCCATTCATGGGTTGATGGGCATTTGGGTTGCTTCCACAACTTGGCAATTATGAATTGAGCTGCAACAAATATTCCAGTGCAGATGTCTTTGTGGTAGAATGATTTTTGTTCTTCTCAAAGATCAAAGGGAAGGGATCAAATGGAAGGTTGACACACCAGGAGTTTTCTAAATTTACCTTCTCTCACTTCTACCTTCGCTCCCTCTAGAGCTCCCCTTCTGGAGAAGTTGTTGTTCATCAAACATGACGAACTCTCTAAGAATTCTCCATGAGCTTGTCATGTTTGAAGAATAACAGTGACTCCAAGGTAGAGCTCTAGAGTGAGCTAAGGTGGAGGTGAGAGAAGGTGAATTTGGAAAACTGCTAGTTGTGTGTGTGCTTGGAGGATCTGTGGGAGCAGATCACATAGGAAATTGAGGATCACCGGAAGGACTTGATTTTAGAGTGACGTGGAAAGTCATTAGAGTTGAGTCTTTATTTTTACTTTTTTAAGAGAGTGAGATGGTCTAGACCTTTCTTAAAAAGAATCACTGTGACTTCTCTGTAGAGACAAGCTAATAGACGGCTATTGATTCAGTTCATGAAAGAGAGAATGTTCAATTAGACCTTGGATAGAATGGTAAAATTAGGGACAAGTGGTTGGTTCAGTTTTGATATTACTTTGAAGATTGAGCTATCAGGATTTGCAGATGGACTGAATATGGGATCTGAGTGAAAGATCCATCCTTGATTTCTCTCTAAGGTTTTTTCACCTGAATGATACAGAAAATATGGCTACCATTTCCTAAAATAAAGAACATTGCAGAAACAGCAGGTTCAGACTGGAAAGCAAATTTGGCTTTGGACATGTGAAGGTTGAGAATGTTATTTAAGTGGAGATGTTGCCTAAAGCAAATTTGATATTGGATTCCAGAATTCGGAAGATGGGTGTTTCATTGAGAAAACTCTTTAATAGGTTCCCATGGCTGAAAGATAAATTCTAAATTCCTAGTACCATTTTCAATACCTCTTATCTGACACTAGCCTACCTTTTAAGGTTTTTCTCTCACACTATTATCTTACATAGAGAAAACCAAACATTATTATTTTTAGCCTGTTTTAGACATTGTTTTTCCATTTTGATACCTTTCTGTGCTATTCTTCATCCCTGGAATGCCTGCTGTCTTAACTCTGCTCTTTGGGATATTATCAAGTTTTCACAACTTTGTATATAAGAATGAAAAGAGAAAGTGAACCATGGAGAAGAAGCCTTTTCAGGTTCAGTTGAGGCTTTTAGGGAATAGACTTCTCGCTGTTTTGCTTCTGTGTGCTCATTTTAACTCCTCCAACACTGTGCTTTCTCTTCTTAGTGGCTATGGGGAATAACGTTCATTTTCATTTTCTTTATTTTTAGATGGGAACATTTAAAGCACATGATGGTGAATATTTCTTAGAACCTATAGTGAAGACAGATGGGAGTGAACATGAAGACGGTCACAATAAGCCCCATCTTATATACAGACAAGAATTGAAGAGGAACTCTCTTCTGCAATCTCATAAGCCCTGTGAAGTTTCAGGTAAACTATGAAGTAAAGCTTTTTCCAGTGAAATTATGATACTGTTCAAATCTTTCTATAATTTATAATCTACATATTATCTTAAATATTTTTGCATATTTATCTTTGATTTTTTTTAAAAATGATGAAAATTGTGTATATCATGTACAATATGTTCTTTTGAAACATCTACACATTGTAGAATGGCTAAATCATGCTAACGTATGAGTTGTCTCACATATGTATCTTTTTTAGGAGGAGAACATTTAAAATCAACTCTTAGCAGTTTTTATGAATACAGCACATCATTATCATATTCACCATGTTGCACAATAGAGCTCTTGATCTTCATCTTCTGGTCTAACTGAAAGTTTGTGTGCTTTGACCAGTATCTTCCCAGCTCCTCTCCAACCCAAGTTCCTAATAATCACCATTCTAGTCTTAACTTCTATTAGCTCAAATTCTTTAAATTTCACAACATAGGAGATCATGTGGTATTCTTTCCCAATGTCTAAGTACATTATATTTAAAAAAAACTTTTACCTGTAAGGATCCACTGGAGATTGTCTGTCTATATATAACCCTATTGTAGTAAACTACATTTAAGTCCAAAAAATTATTCAGTGCATGAGATTTAAAGTAATTGTGAAAAAAAATTTCCTTTTATCTGTTCATCATACTAGTGTTATTTAATTTTTTCAGCAGGATTTTAGATGAAAATTCTGAACCTAAATAACAACATATTGCTTAATTTTGTATGGTTTTAGCTTTATGTAAATGGAAACATAAGTTTTCTGTGACTTATTTCTTTTGCTCATCTTGTATCTGGGGTTCATCTATTTTTTGGTATATATAGCAGCAGTTAATTCATTTTCCTTGTTCTGTATTTATTTGGGGTTTTTTTTAGGTTGATATTATAACATTTATTAAAATATTGGCATGGGTTAATAGAACCAGTGAAGAACCAAAGAATTAAAATGCAAGCTAAGTAAAATCCCAGCTAAAACCCAAAAGTGTCTATTCCTTAGCTACCTAAAGCCCTAAAAAAGACCAGACACCCAATATAATAAAGTACTGCAAGACAATTGGCAATTTTCAGTTATCAAAATTGTGGATTTTGTATTTTGTATCCCTTTCTCAATTGAGAAAAACAAAAACATTCTTTTTGAATATTATGTAATATACATGTAAAACAAGATAGAAACATTAATGTTAGCCCTCCAAGAATTCTGAGATTAAAATTATGTGTGACCTGAACATCAGTTTACAGACAATATTAGAGCTTCATGAAAACATTGCTCTATGTTTATTTCACTTTGTGAGTATACACAGTTCATATAGGCTGTCCCAAAAGTTGCCCATAAAGTTGCTATACATTAGGGGAAACAGGAAATCATAGCTAAATGTACCTGTATTTTACAATACATTTTATACAATATTTACAAAATGTTCTCTACATGTTGGCCACCTCTTTGTAAAAGTTGGTAATGAATATTTTATAAATAAAGGTACATTTATCTACAATTTCCCATTTTTCCTATGTACGATGACTTTAGGGGGTGAATTTTGGGACATCCTGTATATCCCTTTTCCGGTTCATCTTTTGGGTTTGCAGTTTTTCCCTGTTAGAAACAGGGCTGCCGTGAATATTCTTGTCCCCGTCTCCTGTATTTGAGAGTTTCTCCAGAAGTACACACAGGTACTCAATAATTCTATGTTGGTTTACAAAATGATTTTTATCAATTTTATAGTTCCAGCAACATAGGAGAGGAGTATGTTGTCATCATTTTTTCCTATAAAGTTCTGACTATGGAAGATGTGTATAGGTTAGAATCTAGGAGGTGCAGATTTCTAAAGCGTAAATCTGTTACCAGTGAACTTCTTGTATATTCCATAAGTGTTATATTTGTTAGGAGTTATATCCATATATGCACATGTATCTTCACTATTCATAGAATGACATACAATGATACGGTTGAAGACAAGGCACCTGCAGTTACCATCAAAGTGCAAAATCTAGACAAAAGAGTGGGATTAGAAAGGATTTGCTTGAGATTGTAGGTGTCCATAAACTATAGTTCCAAACACTCTGATGCCATCTGTTTTGGGATATAATGATATGTAGGCCTTTGAAGGTTTCCCCTGGGAATGCACTTCTTAACCTTTGGAGTGGTTCTCACTGTGTCTAAGGCCGTGTTTTAAATCTATTGACATAATAGATGCCTTTCTTATGCTTTTAATATGAGCATAAGGGTTTCATTTTTATGGCTTCAAAGAAAACACAAATGGGTACAGCTTCACAATAGAATTCTACAGAAGACAGCTTATGCTTGTTCTGATCTACCATTCAGAAGCAGCTTGTTTAATGAATTGTTTAGCTTCTTAAGAAAACCATCAAGTAGACATTCTGAATGCATAAATGTTTCACATAATGATATGCAGGGTTTTGCATTCACAATTAGCGTTCATTATCAGCAAGGAAATGGTCCAAGGAAAGCCTAGCTTTTTTGTTTAATACTAAAGATATCTATAAACTGAAGATTTTTATACATGTCATACTAAAGATATGTTTTAAAAGTACAAATAAAAAGCAAATCTAAAGCTTATGGCATTTAGTTTTCTTTTAATCACTATATACTCTTTTCTTTAACTCTTTACTAAAATGTAAAAGGCGGTATCCATTCTTTTCAATTCTTAAATTACTTCCAATTTTAGGTACAATTAACAGACACGTTTTTTAATCACTAATAAGGGCAATCAATTAATGGCCAAAAAAATTAGCCACTAATCATCATTTTGTTAGTTAAAGCGGAGAGTTGCGAATATAATTAATGAAATGTTATCTAAGGCTTTTTTTCCTCCCCAGTTCACACATTGTTATTCAGCATTACTTGAAGGTCTTATATATTCTAAAGCGTGAGCTTTCAGCAGACTCCTTCAAATTGGTGGGCCTACAGATTTACAGATGAACCAAAATTATTAAATGGAAAAGGGACATCTTTTTTTCATATATGACACCATTTCTTTCTACCGATGGTCTTAATTCATAGTGATTTCAGCCTTGATGAGCTAGATTAAACTGTTTCCAAGGTCAGAGTTCACTGTGTATCCTGAAATCATACAAATTACATTTGGCGGCCAAACCTAGCCATTTGGATGCTGGGTGTTCAGATAGAAGTCAGATGTGTTATAAGTAAAATCCAAGGGAAATGGGAAAGCAAAGAAACACAAAACCCCTGCAAAATGAACACCAAACAATAACCCACCAATACCACCACTGAGACAAAACTAAACCAAATATGTAAAACTCAATGTGGTGGGGCCTGGGTTGAAAAGATTGAAAAGATTGAAAGGAATGAAAAAAATCTCTAAATTCTATGAAGGGTAATTGTGCTACTGTGTATCCAACAAGGCCTGATAATATTGGTCTTTGTTCCTTAGGAGACCTCAGAAGCCTTTCTCTGTCTGTTTCTTCCATGGCCCCCTTGGTCTGTCTCACCTCAGTGTCATGGGGTAGAAGATAGACTACTCATAGGGCAATAAAACAGGTGGCTGGATGTAAGTGAAAATGAAATGTCTTTACATGGGTTTTAAAATGATGGCAACCAGCTTTAAATTTCTGTACCTTCCTTAAGTTTTTAAAAAATTATTCTTACAGTCTTTGAGTTTCTAATTTACAAAATCTATAAAAATATGTTAAGTTTGTTAAGACAAGGTATAGATAGAAGGGAAGGTAGCATTTGCACCTTCAGAGTCCTGATGTGTGTAGAAGAGTAACCCATTTACTATTTCAGGCGAAATAGGAGGAGGCTGGCAGGGTACACAGAGGCTGGTTATGAAAGGCCTTTAAGGACTTTTTTTGCTATACCACATTGGGGAAACGATGACATTTTAAAGGGGAGACATCATATGATCTGCTTTTTAAAAAATGTTGTATTCCTCAGCTGGCACAGCAACTTTTAAAAATATATATAATTTTGGATTTGAATGAAAACAGACTGAAGGTAAGGAGACTAAATTAAAGAAAAAAACTATCAACAAATGATTTAAGTGTTAAATAAGTGAAGTGTACACGTTTTCCTTATTTTTCTCAACATTGGTGAGAAATTAAAAGTTTTTTGTGAGTAATCCATTTGGATAATATTTCTGTGGGTTCATCAAAAGTACATTTTCAATAAATTTATGTACAGATTACCTTTCCTGTGGAGATAATAATTTAATCAATGTCTATCTTGAGGAAATCCAGACTTTTTATATTTTAGCAGAGGTCACATTTTCTCATAGTAAGCTGGGTGTCAGGGAACAGAGTTCTAGTTCTGGCTCCTTTACTAACTGACTTTGAGAACCTCTACCACTTTGGGTCTCACCTGTATTAGGTAATGAATAGTTAATTTGATTTCTTTTATTTCAATAGAATGTCAAGTCTGAGAGTCTTTAACTTAGCTACCTTACAGCTACAGCTGTCAGACACTTGCCAGAAATGGGTATAATCAAGTGTCATTGGGTCACTGAATTATCTGTAAGGCACTGGAATATATATGCTTGTTGTAAAAGGAAATTTGGGAATGTGAGAAGTTGAAAAAATATATATATACACACTTTTAAAGTGAACAAAAACTAAACAAAACGTGGGGGCTGAAGTTGGTTTGTGAGCCAGCAGTTTGTAATCTCTACCTTGATTGATTTCTGAAGTTCCTGCTATCTGACATTTTCTAAAAGTATAAGAAGAGTAATTAATGTAGGGACAGAGGGTCACAAATATAGCTGTGACCATGGCCATTGAACAAATAACTTGTTAATGGTGTCTTCCAGAATCGTAAAGCTTCTTAGTGTGGCTAGAGAGGACTAAAGAGATCCCATCCACTTGCCTAGCCTTTTACTGAAGTGGTCCTCAACCTGTGGGTTGCGACCCCTTTTTAACAATGAAAATACATGGCGGCATTAGGAAGGTTGAGAACCACTGCAAAAGGTTACATGAGTCCTACTTGCCTGAGATAACCATCTGTCTTAGTTTGGGGGGA